TTGGATGGATGGATGGATGGATGGATGGATGGATGGATGGATGGATGGATGGATGGATGGATGGATGAAACACAGGAAATTAAAACAGGAAGCATCACAGTAAGAAAATAAACACCATCCATCCAACCATCCATTCTTTTTCTTCCGCTTATCCGGGGTCGGGTCGCGGGGGTAGCAGCCTAAGTAGGGAGGCTCAGACTTCCGTCTCCCCAGCCACTTGGTCCAGCTCCTACGGGGGAATCCCGAGGCGTTCCCAGGCCAGCTGAGAAACATAGTCCCTCCAGTGTGTCCTGGGTCTTCCTCTGGGCCTCCTCCCGGTGGGACGTGCCCGGAACACCTAACCAGGGAGGCGTCCAGGAGGCATCCTAACCAGATGCCCAAGCCACCTCAACTGGCTCCTCTTGACGTGGAGAAGCAGCGGCTCAACTCTGAGTCCCTCCCGGATGATCGAGCTTCTCATCCTATTTCTAAGGGAGAGCCCAGACACCCTGCAGAGAAAACTCATTTCGGCCGCTTGTATCCGAGATCTTGTTCTTTCGGTCACAGCCCAAAGCTCATGACCATAGATGAGGGTAGGAACGTAGATCAATCAGTAAATTGAGAGCTTCGTCTTTTGACTCAGCTCTCTCTTCACCACGACAGACCTGTACAGCGCCCGCTTCACTGCAGACGCACTTATCCGCCTATCGATCTCACGTTCCATTTTTCCCTCATTCATGAACAAGACCCCAAGATACTTGAACTCCATCCATTCATCCATCCATTATCTTTACCCGCTTATTCCATTTTGGGTCACGGGGGTCGCTGGTGCCCATGTCCAGCAATCACTGTGTGAGGGGCGGGGTACACCCTGGACGGGTCGCAAGTCCATCACAGGGCCACATAGAGACAAACGAGACAAACAACCACTCACTCACACCTAGGGACAATTCAGAGTTACCAATCAGCCTAACATGCATGTTTTTGGACCGTGGGAGGAAACCGGAGCATCCGAAGAAAACCCACACATGCACAGAGAGAACATGCAAACTCCACCCAGAAAGGCCCCTGGACCGGGGTTTGAACCAAGGACCTGCTCGCTGAGAGGCAGCAGCTCTACAAGTTGCGCCACCATGCTGCCCAGTTATATCCAATAAAAGTATAAAATGCAAAAGAAAAACAGTGATAAGATCTAAGATATGAACTAAGAAAAACGTTAACTAAAAATACACTAAGCGCTAGTAGTACAAAAACAATATGCCGAACAGCAGCACGAACATGAGTCTGTGAGCAGATGAGTACAATGAACACAGCAACATGAAACAGATCAGCAGCAACATGAAATAGTTCAGCAGCAACATGTGATTTTTCACAGTGATTATTCTGGTTAGATATTCATGAGTCTAACAGCTTCAGGGTAGAAGCTGCTCCTCAGTCTAGCTGTTCTACAGTGGGTATGTTTACATGGACATAAGTAACCGGATCAAATGGCCAGTCGGAATAAAAGAGTGTCATGTAAACGCTCCGTTCGGGTTATTTTTTGTGTATTCGGCGCGATCCAATATAATTTGTGATCAGAACGAAACGGGTGGTTTACGCCGATCCGTAACTCGATCAGTGCGCATGTAAACGCTTGATCTGTTCGTTTTTATCTGATTGTGAAAAACTGACCTGACTGCGCATGTGCGACTTTGCCATTTCCGCCTGGCTAATGCTAATAATATTAGCATGTCAGGGGAGCGAAACTGGTCGGTGAGCGACACAACATTTCTACTAGAAACTTTGAAAGAGCTCAAAGTGATCTGTATTACCTGTAGCTCAGTCAGGGAGTGCAGTAACGTCTCCACCATCATTAAAACCTGTCGCAGGTCCATTTTGGGTGCTCAGGTTTGTTTACGTTCACCCGGAAGTAGAACTTCTTCTTCTGTGTTTTTTTTTAAGGAGAGTTTACCACTCTGCGCATGTCAGTACTGCTGTTCAGAACAAAGCCCGCTGCATGGGGGCCGAGATAGTGTAGAGGCAGGGCAGCCGGCTTGGGACCCAAAAGTCCTAGGTTCGATCCCCAGTCACTGCACATCACGTGGCGCCTCTGGGCAGCACACCTCATTCCCAAAATGCCCCCCGGGCACTTTCAATAGCTGCCCACTGCACCACCTGGTGGTGGATGGGTTAAATGCAGAGACTAATTTCGCCATTGTATGGAAACATACAGTGTTGACATTGTGATGACATTATTATTATTATTATGTAAACGCTCGTCATGAACAGATTGTGCCCATGTAAACAATACATTTGAATTATTCAAACAGAACACATTTCAATCTGGTCAAAGAATTCTGCGCATGTAAACATAGCTACTGATCCTCAACCTCCTTCCTGAGGGGAGTGTGGCAATAAGTGTGTGTGCTGGGTGAGTGGTGTCCTTCATGATGCAGGTGGCTCTCTTCCTGCATCTAGAGGTGTAAATGTCTGTGATGGTGGGGAGACTGACTCCAACAGTTGTCTGTGCAGCCTTCACCACTCTCTACAAAGCATTTCTTTCTGCAGCTGTGCAGCCTCCATGCCACACGTTGATGCTGGAGAACAGGATGCTCTCCACTGCACACCTGTAGAAGGAGGTGAGGACTGAGCTTCCCAGACCAGCTCGTCGCAGCGGTCTGAGGAAGTAGAGTCTCTGATGAGCTTTCTTGATCAGGCTGGTAGTGTTGTTGCTCCAGCTGAGGTTGTCATTCAGGTGTACACCCAAGTACTTGTAGCTAGAGACCCTTTCCACCACAGAGCCTCCTATGTTTGGGGCTGGGGGTGGGGGGTAGGGGTAGGTGTGTTTGTTCCTTCTGAAGTCCACAACCATCTCTTTCGTCTTCTTCACATTGGTGTGAGGGTTGTTCTTCCTGCACCAACTCTCCAGGTGTTCCACCTCCTGCCTGTAGCTGGACTCATCATTGTTTGTGATGCATCCCATCACTGCTGTATCATCTGCAAACTTTACAATGTGACAGCCTGGATGTGTAGGTACACAGTCATACAGTATGTGAGCAGAGTGAATAGGAGAGGGCTCAGCACACATCCCTGAGGGAAGCCAGTGTTGAGGGTTATTTTTTACCATAGTGGTGAGGACAGGCTGTTACGTTTTACAAATTATCTGTTGGAGAAGTTATTGCATTTTTCTTCTCTAAATGTATTTACAAATGTCAACTCGGTTGTGATTTCCAATGAGACTGAAAAGCAGTTTCTATGGCAAGCAATTTGATTGTCACAGTCATTCAGTTGTAGTTTAGATGGGTTGGTTCATGTTAAATTATTTTATAAAATTAAAGTACATGTGAAATTACTAATGAGAAATTACCCTTTTCCATGATAATTCTACAAAGTACAGCAGCCTTGTTAATTTAATGACAGTTCAGTCTGACTCATACTGTGAACTGTTCAGTGCAGGTAGTGGCTCATCTTGCTCTGGACAAAAGTAGAGGCACTGTTATGAAGGAGGTGTTTTTTCAAACTGTGTTTTATATTGTTAAGAGATTATATTTGTGTCGTATGCTATAATACGTAAAGGTGCAAATGATGACAATAATTCTGAGCCACTTTAAATGCAGATTAGGTATGTCAGATAATTTTTCTCAAAATACAATAATGTTAGGTGGCTGGTATAATACTGCAACATTTCCCATCTGGCAACACTGCACAGAGATGTGTGGGACGCTGCCTGCTGACTGAAGTGGTGGAGCTAGCAGGAATTAATAGCTTCCATTAAGCACTCATTTGTGTCTGCTTCTGTATTACACTGTCTGTCATAAAGGGAAACAGGCTTTCTCTGACAGGGAGTTTATTATGATTATTTTATTTTATACATTTGGCACTCATAATTGCTTTGAACAAATCTCACCATTTATTGTCATTTACTGGCTTTAAGTAGTTTTCTCTGTCACTCAGACATAACCACTGATAATCCTGACACAACAGTTACATTAAGTTTATGGCTTCAACACAAATGTCATTTCCAAACACCTGCACCTAAATTGCAGATACAAAGATTGAGCAAATAATCAATAACAGAATTTAGCTACACATTACAATATTGGTGACTCTAAATTGTCACTAGGTGTAAGTGAGATGAATGGTTGTCTGTCTTGTCCCTATGATAGACTGAGACTCTGTCCAGAGTGTCCCCACCTCTCTCTAAATGACCACTGGAGATAGTATTTTTAGTTTCGTTTATTGTTTATTTGACATATGCAGGTCGACATAAGGTCAACAAGGTAATGAAATGCTCGGGACAAGATGAACTGTTTCGACTCGCCAAAATAAAGACAAAAAAAAACAACCCAAACAAACAATTAATACCAAAGCATGCAACAGAAGTACAAAACAAAGCACCAAAAAGTGAAAAAGAAATACAACATCTACAAGGTCTAAAAGAATTATAGTAAACAACATGGTAGAAAACATCAGTGCAAATAGGATGAATCAGTACAAACAAGTACCACACAGGCAGTAACACTGCTTAAATGCACATGATACATACTGGACACAACATACATCACACAGGTTGGGAAACAGGCCAGTGCACAGGCAGTGAGCAACATTGAAATGAACTGAACCATGATGGCAAGGCAGCGACACACATGATAAAGCCACATAGTGCAGCAGCAATAAACATGTTAGATGTTACATATGTGACTCAGCTCTGTCAAACCAGTAGACGAACATGATCTGGAGCCACAGCACAGTCGGGGATGGATGGCTCCAGCCATGATTCCGTAAAGGCAAAGATACAACAGCTCCTCGTGTCCTGCTTGCAATAAATCCGTGCATGAAGGTCTTCTAGTCTATTCCTCAAAGACTGAATGCCCAAAAGCAGGACCGAGAGGAGAGGGGGTTTGCTGCATCTTTGGCAGGTCCTGCACAAAACACTGGCTTGCTTTCCTCTTATGGCACCCAATTAGACAAAGGACCCAGGGGAAAATGTTTGCCACTGAGTCCCCAAAAGTCGACCCAAAGTCCCCACTCACTGACGATCGCAACTCCAAAAGTGTGTCGTGTTCATGCCTGTGGGAGTGCAGTTCAGGTGTAAAACGTCAAAACAAAAGCAACAATGAGCAAAAAAAAGTGTGAGTCAAACCAGAGCTCTAATCAGTGCTGCCATGCTGCAGCACACATTGATGACGAACAGAAAAGCACTAGATCCAATGCTACTATTACACTAAATAACATGATTCTTTGACACAGACTAGACAGGATCTGTAGTGACAGGAAATATGTAAAGTGTTTTTTCTGTCATTCAGAGAAAGCTAGTTCTGCTGGCAGAAGTGACTCCTCTGGCCGGATTTATCTGTCCACCTACACTGAACACTCGGACAGGTCGACTCCCCATCATCCTCGCTCTCCTCCACCTTCTCCTTCTTTGTTCCCTTCTCTTCTTGAGGTGCACCCCCACACTGTAGCCCACTATAGCCAGTGACATGCCTGCACCAGCAGCCAGCAGTATCATACCAAACACCAGCATTTCTCTGCTGTCATGACGCTGGCTGCCAACTGTAGCCATAAAGAGCAGCACCATCCCACACAGCGTCACCGCCAACCCCACAGCTAAAATCAGTGCTGGGTCAGCTCTCCCACCGCTCCTCAACTGCTCAATCTGATGCTGGCTGTGCACACAGTTCATGTCCTGGATGGCAGAGCTGAGGAGCTGCTTGAGCAAAATAGCCAGGGCCAAGAAACAGAGGGTGGTGCCCACCCCGAGACGCCATTCCCCAGACAGGCTGGTTGTGGTGGTGGACAGAAGGCCCACGCCACCAAAGCCCAACCCCAGTATGAGGCTCACAGAGGCGCAGTAACAGAACAAGGACTGCCGTGGCTCCCCGAACCACCATAACTCTACTTGGTCTTCAAGGAGACGTTGCTGTGCAAGAGTGTGTTCCAGGTAGAGTCCAGAGGGATGATGGATGGTGTAATAGAAGGTCTGCATCTCAGGCATGGCAGGTCACCACTCAGGGTAAAGACAGGGTGAGACCTTCAATGTACAGACAATTAACAGAATTAAAATGTTCTCTTTAACTCAATCATAGTAAAAGAGAGGTTTTGTTAACTTACTTATAGTTACAGAATAATGCTGCTGTCCATCCCTCTACCTTACATCAAGCATCGTGGATCGAAGCATTACAGTGGGCTGAAAGATCCATCAAGTCATGGCTTTGTTTCATTCTTCAGAAGAGAAACAGGTCTGCTTGCAGAAGGAGCTTCTAGTGGTCCAAGTGTCTTACATGGTTGATCCACAGCATGCATCCTGTATAGAAATCCTTAAAGCTTTAAGAGATGAAACTGTTAATAGAAAAAATGTTCTTCTAGAGAAAAACCAGCTATTTTAACCCTTCCAGGTGGGTTTTATCCAAGGCTTTTAGTGACTACACTACGCTTACAGATCAATAATCTCTGCCTTCTGTTCACTCCACCCACATTCCCCACCCCAGTGTCAGGCAGAACGTCACTCATGCCCTTCTCTCATCGCTCAGCATCTCCATCTTATCTGGCTAAGTGGGAAAAACCCAGGTCACAGTGGCAGTGTTGGATGTGCTCAGACACACTGTCCATTTTGCACCAATGGAAACAAAAGGCTGAATGATGAACACAATGACTGTGTTGCTGAAGGCCAACGGCAGTGTGTGAAGTAGAAGGGGGTTGTGGAGGGGGGGCTCCGTTGGAGCTATGGAGTGTCGGGTGATGTCAGTGTGTCTTGATAATGGTGTGTCTGTGATCCTGGGGATAGCATCATCAACACTGTGAGCTGGCCTCGTTGGTTTGCCAGTGAATGCTGTTGCTGCTTGGTGATGCTAACACAGCGTTCAAAACATCTCAGGATTATTTCCATATTTAAATATAAAGGCGAAAATGTATATTTTTGTTTTAATAAAGCTCTTGCCTGTAAAAACTTTAGGGTTAGCACGTAAACAGTTACAAGCTTGGTTTAGTTTGAGGTTAAAGTGAAGTTCTAAACCTACTAAAAGCACAAATTATGTTGGACTTTCACTCTAGTTCTGTTTCCTTTTGGCACAATCACTCATTTTGGCAACACACACCCACACACACTCTTGTAATAAGAATGTTTTCTCATGAAATTCACAATGAAGTTGTCTGGGGTCAGCTGTTGCCTGTAATTTTCCCTGCCCATGGTATAACTTTATAATTTTATAACTTTATATTTTTATACCCTGATATTCTGAGCCTGGTGGGGTGCTTGTAACTCTCTCTCACAGGGAAGTCGCCAGGTGAGTCTGCTCAGTCAGACACCAAGCAGCTTTTTCATTTATTCAACCTTTATTTATACATCCTGATGCATGCTCAATAATCCAGGTAGAAAAATCCAAAAAAGTTCAATCTGGTCCTCTGGACATTCAAAAAAACAAAAAACAAAACAAAGCAAAAAAATATATAGAAATGTTTCGTCTCTCATCCAAGAGACTTCCTCAGTCTGAGGTGCTGTTTTCAGCTCAGTCTCTTAAATAGCACCTTCACAGAGTGGATCAACCAGTTTTGCTGCTGACAACCAAAACCAGCTGATCACATGCTCAAGAAGGACCATCAGCCTAACAATGGATCATTAGCACACTGATGGCTGTTTACTATTCACAGAGGGCTGAGTGATACTAGCAATCACAGCATTGTAAGAGGGGGACAGTTGAACCCGGAGGCCTCCACCCCTATTTAATGACGGACGATTTCTTTTCACAAAGATGGCCTCCTTTACTTCTCTCTCAAACCATCGTTCCTCTCTGTCCAGGATGTGAACATCTTCATCCCTGAAAGAGTGACTGCTGGCCTGGAGATGAGTGTAGACCGCAGAGTCCTGGCCTGATGATGTTGATCTTCTGTGCTGGGCCATCCTTTTGGCTAGTGGCTGTTTTGTTTCCCCGATGTAAGACTGATCACCCTCCTGACACTGAACAGCATACACAATATTACTCTGTTTGTGCCAGGGGACTGGATCTTTGGGATGAACCAGTCTTTGTCGTAATGTATTTTGGGGTTTAAAAGCCACTGGGACATTATGTTTAGAAAATAAACGTCTCAGTTTCTCTGATACTCCCTCAACATATGGAATTACCACTGGTCTGGGTCTGGGTTCCTCCTTTTCACCTGATGGCTGACTTATCTGTATTCGCCTGGAGGACAAGTAATCTGACACTCTGCCCCCCCCCCCCCCCCCCCTCCACACACACACACACACACACACACACTTCCCATAGAAAAATTCTAACTGATCAACCTGAGGAAACCAGCTGAATAAACATTGCGTCATCATTTCAGGACTCTTGGATTCCCATAGGCATTGTCCTTGGCCATTCCCCAACATCCCTTGAGAATGTTTACGGATCTCACCGGAAGGAACTGGTTGATTATTCCATCCTTATCAGAACACTTACAGTGCCCTCAAGAGTGTCCTTCAACATCTCACCGCTCGTCTCCCCCCCACCTCTGCAAAATGTCTACGTCACCATGTGCTTGTTTGTGCGAGGTGGGTTTTTTTTTTTATATTAGTTTCTCTTCTCAGCCAAGAAGAAAGAGTTTGATAGGATTTTTTTTGCCTCCAATTTCTACATGTGTCCAGTTTCATTACTTTCTGTCTGTCTAAACAGATCTCACTTGAAAATGAGTCTTCGAGGCTCAATGTGATTTATCTGTCTAAATAAAGGTTGAATGAATGAATTAGAGCTCATCATTATGGAAATAAGAACAAAATATATTCCAGATTTCTTGTAGCTGTTGTGGAGTTTCTGCACTCCTCTGTGTTTCTCTTCCTTGTGTTCAGCTTCTGTCACACCTGTCTCTGTTTCCATCCACCCCAGGTGTTTGTCATCGTGTCTCATCAGTGTTCTGTATTTATTCAGCGTCATGTGGACTGTCCTGAGAATGCTTTCATGTTCTGTCTCCCTCTGTGTCTTTCCTTAAAATAAGTTTGATGCCCCGTCAGCATCTTGTTTTGTTTATTTACAATAAGTTTAGTTATTTATTTTCACCTTGGAGTCTCCTGTTGCCTTCCTGCACGTGGGCTCAATACTTTAAGCAGATCAAGAAAGCTGTAAATTCAACAAACATTTGTGTAGATAAATACTGTAATAAAATAACAAGTTAACACACTTACAGCAAGTAAGGTGGCGGCTGTGGCTGAGTGGTTAGAGCAGTCATCCTCCATTGCAAGAGTTGGGGGTTCGAATCCACCAGCAGTCATATGCCGAAGTGTCCCTGGGCAAGACACTGAACCCCTTGTTGCCTCCGTTGTACGTCCCATTGGTGTATGAATGTGAAAGAGCACTTAGTAGTCTCTTTAGAATAAATTGTTCAATTAACTTTGTAGAGATCTAGTAAAGTGCTGTTCGAATGGGTAAATGAGGACACAGATTGTGTTGTAAAGAGCTTTGAGTATGTCAATAAGATAAAGGCGCTATATAAGTACAGTCCATTTACCATTTACAGCAACTGTAGTGAGAAAAAAATATATAAAACAAAACATTTCTGGGCAACACCTCTCATAAAGCTATAAGATTTCATTATAATTGTACAATATGTCCTCATTTTCAAATATTAGAATGATAATAAATCACATCAGGGCTAAATTACATTTAGTGTTCCCAGAAAATATAATAACCTGAACAGCTGTTGATTAAACCCACTGAAAAGTGCTCTAAATATATCCTGATGCATGCTCAATAATCCAGGTAGAAAAATCTAAAAAAGTTAAATCTGGTCCTCTGGACATTAAAAAAAACCCAAAACAAAGCAAAACAACAAAAAATGTAGAAACGTT